CTCACCTAAGAAAGCAATGGGTTGAAAGAAGCCAGGGGCTTGGTTTTGATTCCATACTATGATCAAAAGATCACTGAAGATCAGAAGTTCATACAACCACACAGACCTGCACATATTCACACACACACACAGAGACAAACATTTTCAACTGATAGGGAATGGAAATCACAAAAGCTGACTGGTCAGCCAATGCTACATGGTGCAAGACTTCCCAGCTGTGTCTGCCAGTACCACAGCTATGTCCTGGGGTGAGGGGGCAAGATGCTACCATGGACTGAATGACTCAGTGTTAGATGCCAGGTTTTAACTTAAGGCACACATGAAGCATACCTCTGTGATACAGAAATGGAGAGGACAGGACAGTGGACAGTCCAGTATCACCCGTATGGAGCTCATGTGACACGGGATTCAGTGTGAATGAAGGACATTTCTGTTCTGGGAAGCACATGCTTTCCCCATTGGTGGCAGTGTGAACCAGGACATCACGTATGCTCCCATGGTGACTTTGGCTGCCCTGAAGCTTAGAGTTTAAGGTTTGATCACCGGTGTTCCTTCTTGCTTTTATTTTTGGTCCCAATCTCTGTTGACTTTAACTTCTTATATGCATTCTTGGCTGTAAGAGGACTCAGTTCCCCTTTTGGGGGAAAAATGGAGGTATCTTATCATCATGCTTATCATAATTATAATGAATTGTAATATGCTAATTATAAAACCAATGTATAGAGATTGTAACAGTTACTACAACCACTGGTAACATGTCTCTCCATAGCAATTTTTGGAACTTCTCTGAATAGTTTGCAGAGATCCTTTTTGATCCTTAGAGTAATTGTTAATAACTCCAAGATAAAAATGGAAGTTCAGAGATGAAGCAATTATTTCAGGGCTATACCTCTGGGGAGCTTCAGTTCCCTTATCTGTAAACTGGAAATAACCACAGTTGTCCATCTCATGGGGTGGATCAGATATAAGATGGTATTCATGTAAACTGTCTAACTCTGTTATGCAGCAAGTACTCCACATGTATGAATTACTACTTAAAGTAACATGTGCACACACATGTACCTACTTACATATGGGAGTGAATTCAGAAAGGACTGCTGGCTCGGGCTTTGTCTGACTCTTCAGTATCCCAAAGAGCCGTCTTTTATAGGCCCATCCCATGCATCATTTTGGTCTGAGTCTTCCGCAGACAGCTGAGAGTCACCCTGGTGGCTGTGCAAACCATAGCTCTATCTGCTCATGCTCAGTTTTCAAATCTGTTCTGTGTGAGGACTGTTCTCTGCATGGAGTCACTGTGAAGAGCCTCTGCAGGGACCCCTGGCATTCCAAGGGCTCTGACTTTGAGATCTGAAACCTACCTATTGTCATATTCCTTACCTGCTTAAGAAGGTCTCGGCATGTCCCACCATGGCCAGACACTCACTCAACAGTCTAGATGATGTGCTAGTCTCAGGATTATGCAGGAGGGCCCACTCAAGTACCTCCCCTATTACTCTCGTCTGTCACATCTACAGACTACAGGACAAGTGTCTCACTTTACCAAAGGTACAAGGAATTCGGATCTTTGCCACCTACCCCACCACTAGGAGTTGGGTGTTCTAATTGTACCAATTATCTCCTATCAGCTTCTAACCACACAGGGTTCCTTTGTCATTGAGCCATCTGAAACTGACAGGTGTGGCTTACCATACAGCATGCAACAAGGCAGGGGAGAGGCAGGAAATTCTCCACTGGTTGGCTTACCTATGTCTGAAATCTTTATTTCTGACAGAAGACAGGAGAGCAGGGAATAGAAGAAAGAACGAGGTGTTAGCAGCAGGGTTAGAAGCATTATTAGCAGCTGAAAACTTGACAGCAGTGGTACTGTACAACACTGTAATAAATACAGACTTAGCCATGACACTGATACATTTTATATTGGATACTCCTTGTCAGTGAGTTCACTTACAAGCAGCTACATATCACAGAGGAGGCCCAGCTCCACCTGCACCATACTGCTGACTCTGGGAAGAAGACGGGCCTGATACAGTGTGCTGCTTCAGTGGGGACTCAGAAGAGAGAGGAGCAGTTGATTCTCTTCTCTGCATAGACACCCAGAGAGATATACAGGCTTGCTGTTTCAGGTCTCTGCATGCGTGCTTCTCTATGACAGTCTTCAAAACGTGGGGAGCCTACCAAGAGCCAAAATATGGCACGGGACTGGAGAATGAATGTAATTAGGGAGGGTGTGACACAGAGACAGAGCCCAGCAGGAAAGGACTGGGTGATAATACATTGAGTTCTTCCCTAATTTTGTTTATTTCTTTCATCCCTTCTTGCATGATCCCCAACAGTAGTGGGAAGAAGAGAGAGAAACTAGGATATTTTATTTGGAGGATATGAAGATGGGAGGCCCACATCCAGAGACTATCCCACCTGGGGATCCATCCCATATACAGTCACCAAACTACACAGAGCCCGACAAATACAGAGGCAGATGCTTGCTGCCAACCACTGGACTGAGTGCAAAGGTCCACTGAGTGAGGAGTTGGGGAAGGGACTGAAGGAGCTGAGGGGGCTTGCAGTCCCATGGGGGGGGGGAACAACAGTGACAATAGGCCAGATCTCCTGGAGCTCCTGGGGACTAAACCACCAACCAAAGAGTCCACATGGAGGGACCCGTGGCTCCGGCTGCATATGTAGCAGAGGATGGCCTTGTTGGACATAAGTGGAGTGGCCCCTTGGGCCTGAGGGGGTTCAATGCTCCAGTGTAGGGGAATGAAGGAGAGAGTGGGCGGATAGGTGGGGGAGCACCCTCATAGAGGAAGAGGTAGGGGGAATGGAATAGGGAGGTTCTGGAGGGGAGACCTGGAAAGGGGATAACATTTGAAATGTAAATAAAGAAAATATCCTCTGGGCAGGGCGGTGGCGGGGCACGCCTTTAATCCCAGCACTCAGGAGGAAGAGGCAGGCGGATTTCTGAGTTCAAGGCCAGCCTGGTCTACAGAATGAGTTCCAGGACAGCCAGAGATACACAGAGAAACCCTGTCCGGGGATGGGGGTGGGGGGATAAAATATCCAATTTAAAAAAACAAAAAAGAAAATGGGAGGCCCAGAATTTAAAAGTTTGCTCAAAGTCACACAGCTTCTCTGCTACATTGAGCTGACCCTTGGTCCTTTGCTCCTGTCACTCATTATGTTCTTCTGACTGAAGCAAGTACAGTCAGGGGTCCTTCTTCCCTGACCAGTGCCTGTGCATTAACCTCATAACAAGTAAAAAGGGCAAAGAATATTCTCCTGGAGTCAGGTACCTCACCCAGCCTGACATGCGATTTCCTAGGTACCCACAGCACGGGAGCCTCCTCGAGCTTCCCCAGTTGACCTGTGTGGGGATGGACGACGCTCATGGTCCTCAGGACTGTGGTGTCTGACAGCCAGACAGCATGCTTTGCCTCCTTTTATGTGTGAGCTGCATAATGATGTGTATCCAACAGAGAATAACGAGGGGGTAGGTGGGTGGGTGGGGCATGGCTCTCATCATGCTGGGTGGCTGGGCTGTGTAACAGTCTTCTAGGTTTGGGTTCTAGATGCTGGACTTTGAACATGTACTTTAAGTTCTCTGAGCTTGCTTCCCCTGTTTGCCAAAGGTTGATAATAGGTAGGACCTTACAGAACTGTCACACGGGTTAACAGCCCTACCTCCCTGCCATCCACTTTGGAGGATGCCCTTCCATCCCAAATCATGTCTTGCTTACTGTGGTTCCAAACAAGGACATGGGTGAATTTTTTGCTCCAATACAGCTATCAAAAGCTTTCTAAAATGTCTTTTGAAATTGAGAGTAGGGCTCCCCTGTCTCTGAAGCACAGTCTCCCTTTAACCACAGAGTCCATCTCATGACAGGGCTTTGGTTCTAAAGAGACCTGGCTCAGGGGCATCGGGAAAAATGCAAACTCGAGAGCTGTCTGCCAGCTGAGGGTCATTGTGAGAGTCTCTCCCTGTGCTTCTGCTCCACCCAGAGAGCCTGCATAAGCCTTGGGCTTCATTTCATTTCAACTCTGGCCTGAGGTAACCGCTTCTGAGGAACAAAAAGGAACAGGGCAAAACTGAGTGACATTTACTTGCTGTGGATCCTTTGTTCTTACAAAAAGACTCTTGTAACTGATTCTATTGGTTAAATGCAGAAAAAAGGTTTGGTGGCTCCAAGGGGACTCATTTTCAGCCATCAGCAGCCTCTCACATCGTCTGGACATCGAGCTTTGTCTTGACCTACTTCTCTGGTCCCCATGGGTAGGGCTGTTTGGCCTCACGATGGCAAGGGGACATTACAAGGAACCACAGGGAAGATATTCCCTTACATACCTCATCTCCAGGATGTTGGTGACATTTCCAGAGGGGAAGATCCTACGGATGTAATTGAAGTCTCCCACGTACAGACTCCCGTCAGAGCCACAGGTGAGGGCCACGGGGGCCAGGAGCTTGTTGCCATCAGCAAGGCCATTGCAGCTAGGGCAGGAGATGCTCCTCCTGCGCCCGTTGCCCATGATGCTGCCGATGACTGGTGGCTGCTGGGACACGAACTGGTTTTCTCCATTCCCCTTGTGCAGGATGCCTGGGACAGGGAGAGATACGCGTGAGTGAGGGAACAGAGGCTGGGTCCCTCTTCCTTTGGTTGACTAATGTTATCTTGATTTTGCAAAGGATATGAGGCCTTGGCCAAACACTTTGAGACTTGTCTTACCATAGTGAAACCCAGGGTTCCCTAAGAGGCTCCATTGGTTACTGACTGAATTCTCATTCTAGGCCTATGAGATGGCACTGTTACCACTGTTATGACAGACGGAGTATGCCAGCAGTTTAGCCAAGGCCCCACAGACAGAAAGTGGGCAGGCCCAAAATACATCCACTCTCTGCCACCGTCATGTGTATGTGTGTTTGTGGTGTCTGCATGCATGCATGTGTGTTTATAGGCACATGTGCATATGTGTGCAGGTGTATGTAGGTGTATATGGAGGCCACAGGACAACTTCTGGTGCTATCTTCCTAATTTTTTGATGCAGGGCCTCTCATATCCTGGAACGTGCCAAATAAACAAGGCCAGCTTGTCATTGAACCCCAGGGATCTCTCTGTCTTCTCCTTTTCAGGGGTTGGATTGAAAGCTTATTCCACCATGCATAGCATTTTAAAAGATATGTTTTAGGTATAAAAGTGTTTTGCCTATATGTATGTGTGTGTATCACATGTGTGTCTGCTGCCCCTGGAGGCCAGAAGAGAGCAGAGGATTGGATTCCCTAGAACTGGAGTTATAGATGGCTAGGAGCCATTGTGTGGGCACTAGGAATTGAACCCAAGAACATAGGCTCTTATTGGCTGGGCCATCATTCCAGTGCCCACCCTTTTCTGGCATTTTTTTACTTGGACTCTGGGGATAAGAACTCAGGTTCTTGTGCTCTCAAGACCAATACTTTACTGACTGAGCTTCAGCCCCAGCTTTTGACCATCCAGGCTAATGCATCTTCACCGGACTCAGTCTGAATCTGTGTACAGCACAGATTCTTAGGTGTACATGCTTCCTTTCCCCTCTTCCCACCAGTACAATTTCAAGTGTAGAGCTCATGTCTTTTTCATTTCTATATCCCCAGTGCCTAGTATAGCATCTGAGGAATAGATACCAATAAATGTTTATTGAAATAAAGGAGGGAAACACAGTCTCTGCTCACCAGCACAGACCCAGGTTTTTACCTGGTCTTACAGCTGACAGGATGATCCTCCAGCTTGCAGAGATCTCAAGTGTCTGTATTACTCACACTGCTCTGGGGCCTCAGTTTCCCACTAACCAGATGAAGGGACTCATTTGAATGACCTCAGCTACTTGTCTTCTTTCTCACACATATCTACATGGTTTCACCATTCCTGACCATCCCCTTTCATCTGTGTATGGCCACAGCTTCCAGGTTGACTGTCTCTCCTGCCATACCTGTTTCTATGATACCTGAGTAGGACTGGGATCCTATAGGTCACAAGAATCTCCTTCAATTTGCCATCTTCCCTAGCTTTGCCCAAACCATGTCCTTTATTGAAGGGTTTAATTTAAATTTTAAATTTTACTTAGTCTAATCAGTTATTTTTCTAAGACCAAGTTTGTGCTGTTTAAGTTTTTCTGTAATCCTTTCTTGATATTTAAAACTGGCTTATACTTTCTTCTATTAATTTTAGAGTATTTTCACATTTAGATGTTGAAAACTAAATTAAAATTTATTTTGCACAGTGTGGAGTGGAGGTGTAGCATAGTTTTTCTAAATACACTGAAGTGTTTTCTCTAGTATTAGTTTCTGAAGTGTGCATCTGATGACATGTGATGCTCTCTCTATAGAGTATAGTTTCTATATATGCACAGAGTGTAAGGAAAGCCTTTCCAGCTATCCACCGATGGCCCATCCACCCTTTCCTCTTCTGTAGAGAACATAATTCCCGACACCTAGCTGGCCACATGTCTGCCTGGAGCAGTCAGCCTCTTCTGTGACTGAGTCTTGGCCAGTGGCTCCTAAGTGTTGATGCTGTGATCATCTGCTGGGCAGCATCCCCACACTGGAAGGGCCTAGGGCGTGGTCCTTTTCCTTCTCCTTGATGATGTTCCTACATCAGCAAGATGTGCAGGCTGGATTTGAAGTAGTCAGCTTGGACTGTGACCTTGGGGTAAAGGCCATGATGAACAAGGAGAACAGAGGAACTTCACATTCTGAGCCTGCAGCCCACGATAAGCTGCCTCCAGCGGGGTACAAGTGAGTGAGAAACAAAATTTAGCTCCATCACAGTTCTGTTACTTCAAAATTTTGGATACTGAGAGCCAAAGCTAGTTTCTTGTTTTTCCCATTTCGTACACACACAGTGTACTTTAATCCCATTCACCTAGTCCATTGCCTTCTCTTTCCCCTCTAGCCTTG